GAGGCCAATTGCCAGAGGGAACAGGTTTGAAGTGGTGATTGGGAAAAGGATTAGAAGGGACATGAGGAAAAACTTTCACGCAGAGTATGGGAGGTTTCTGGAATTCACTGTCTATATTGGTTGTGGTGGAATCCCTCAACTCATTTAAAAGGAACAACACTAATCTGCAAGGCATAGACTGCCTTGGTGCTAGAAAGTGAGGTTAGAATGGGCTGCTACTTTATTCAGCTGGTGCAGACATGATGGACTGAAGGTTGTTGTAAATACTTCAGCCTTCTCTTTTTCACTGATGTGCTGGGCTGTTCCATGAGTGAGGTTAGAGATATTTGTTGAGCCTCCTCCTCCAGTGAGTTATTTTAATTGTCCTCCACCATTCACAATTGGATTTGGTAGGATTGCAAAGCTTAGATATGATCTTTGATGGTGAGATTGCTTAGCCATATCAATCACATGCCTCTTCTGTTTTGTACGTTCATCAAATTGAGACCATTTTGAAGTATGCCTGGTGCTTCTCATGCCTTCTGGTCTATTATGATCCAGGGTTGATCTCTGAGCCAGAAGGCATTAGTGAGTTGGCACTATGCACAGCCATGCAGTTACAATAGTGGTTGAGTGCAGTGCTGATACTGCTGATGGCCCCTAGTGCCTCGTGGATGCTCAGTTATCCTTTTTAACACAGTGATCATACGACACAAAAAGATGGAGGAATGAAGATGGGACTTTATGTCCACAGTGACTCTATAGGTGTATGGATGAATTCATCCACAGATGGGCAAGGATTTTCCCTCCTGGGGGTTCTCTCACTACCTTCCACAGACCCAATCTAGCAGCTATTAGAACTTGACCAGTTTGGTGCTACTGAGGCAACTCTTGGTGAAGGACATCAGATCGGTTGAGGACAGCAGATTTCATTCCCTAAAGTTGTGAACCGGATACTTTTGTTTTCACTTTAGATCCATTAATTCCAGATGTTATTGAATTCAGATTTCACCATCTGCCGTGGTGGGATTCCAACCCATTCACCCGGATTACTTTTCCAGTGACATTATCACTATGTCACTGCTTCGTCTAAAGTTCTTTAAGTTGCTGAAAATGTGAGCTGACAACAGTGCAACAAGATAAAGTGAGCATTTGGGAAATATGTATCTCCTTAACCAATGACATTTAAGGATCAAGAAAGAAGCCAGCCAGAGGGTCAAGGAGGACCAGAGGAGTTGATTGACAGTTATTATGTCATTGTAAGGATTTTATGCCCATAATCGCTTGCTCTTTCTACATCAAGATTACTGGGCAAATCCAGCAAATTTTTATAACAAAAGAGGCAAAGGACGAGGTGAGATTTGTTTAAAGCAAACAGCAGAGTTGACCAGTACTTTCTGAAGAATTTCATTTAACTTCCATCTCTTAATCCTCTGAATTACTGGCCAATTTGAGAATCAATAGTACCATATATCATTAACAAATTTTTATATTTCCAGTAAGATTCAGACCCTTACTATGGAAATTCCTAAAATAAGAGAGTAGAAGTTCATGCGGTAGAGAGTGACAAATGATCCACTACCATGCACCATCATGCAGCACCAGCTTGTAAGGCAGTTTGATTGAAGTTTGGAAGATTAGGAAGGGCACTAATAAAGTAGACAGAGACAAACTGACAGTGTTATTGAAATATCCATTTGTCAGGCCTACATGTGAAAAATCTGATGTACAATAAGGATTTGGTTGTTCTTTACTTTTTGCAATGGATGTTTGGATTTTGGAATCTTTTAACTGTTCTACACACTACTGATTCTGTCTGTCTAAATTCAGGCCATGTCTGCACAGAATGGTTGGTATTTATTTGACACTGCAGTGAAGTTATGCGAGGTACAGGTCTCTTTCTACTGCTGATAGTGTGAGAGTAGCCGTGTTAGACACTGAGAATGAATACAGAAGCATGTTTTGGCATATCCCAGTCTTATGGTACATGTGTAATTGTTCTCCTGTAATACTTGCACTGTCGCAGTAAATAGTCAGCGATGGAATAAAGCATCAGTCGAGAATGGTTGTGGTTTACATTTTCTGCTGCACACTAGATATAGTTAACTGTGTAATTCAATAAACCCAAAGATCTGAATCTGACACTTTTGGTTGTTCTGCAGGTTACAATGCTCCATATTTGTCTGTGTATAGTGAGAATGCTGTAGATGTATTTGATGTGAACACTATGGAATGGATTCAGACAGTTGCACTAAAGAAGGTATGTTCACTTTCCTGCCCCCAGCTATTTGTTTTACTTGTTATATTCTTCTCCTTCCTCTCTCTTCGTTGCTGAAATATAGATTCACGGTAAATATTGACTTGCTGTTTTCTCTTGTCCTGTTCTTCCTTTCTACCCTCCCTCAATCAGATGACTCCCTAAACTCCCTTTCTCTCGTGAATGTTACCTGAGTTTCCTAACTTCCTCTATTATAATTAAGTCCCTCCATCCCAGATATCTTTCTGAATTGTCATAAAGTCATACAGCACGGAAACAGGCCCTTCTGTCCAACTCGCCCATGCCTACCAAGTTTCCCAAACAGAACTAATCCCATTTGCCTGCGTTTGGCCCACATCCCCCTAAACTTACCTTCTTCATATACCTGTCCAAACATCTTTCAAATATTGTAACTATACCTGCATCTACCACTTCAGCTGGCAGTTCATTCCACATATGAACCATCCTCTGTTTGAAGAAGTTGCCTGTCACATGGCCAATCTCCCTTCCCAAGTTGGGAGCCCGAACTATGGTATTCTAACTGAGGCTTGACTAAAATCTAATATTACCTTGTATCTCTGTATCTCTTGTTTTGGTCCCAGATTTCATTATTCTTCTACACCTAGGCAGGCAGGAAAGTTGAGGATTATCAGATTAGACATGAACTCGTTGAATGGTAGGGCAGGCTGGATGGGCCGAATGGCCTATTTATGCTCCTATGTCTTATGGCAAATCCCTTTTGCATCCATTAGCTGTCTTTTAATGACTGACACATAATTATTAATCAACCCTTCAAAGTTTGACTATTTACAGTGTAATTTTAGTTTAAGCTGTTTTTCTAATCAACCTGTTCAGAGATGTTACTACACACCTCTAGAGCAGTTGTAACTTGAACCCAGGCCTCCCAGTCCAGGACCACGAGGGGGCCCTAAAATTTGCATCGTACAGGCCCTTCTTCTCCTCCTATTTCATTAATACTGTTCCATACCAGCCCTATCTGTACACACTTAGTATACCAAACTATTATGCTATAATCTCAGACAGTGTAAATAGTGCAGCCTTCAGCAGGAGCACAGATGAATGGAAAAGCTGCACTTGGTAATTAGTGGAGAATCAAATTAAGTTATGTTTGAGAAATTCCTTGTGGGATTGGTTACAGTGAGTTGGTTTTCTTACAGGTTCGCCCACTTAATACAGAAGGAACGCTTAACCTGCTTGGTCTCGAGACAATCAGGTTAATCTATTTCAAAAATAAGATGGCAGGTACGTCTAGCAAGTGGTTTTTATGTTTATGTGAGACTAAAAACTTATCGTTAACTTATTTAGTTATTTTAGGATTTGCTAAACAGTACCTTGCATTACTGACCCAGCTACCTCAGTGGAGCAGAAGAAACAGTAGCCAGCAACTTGTGGCCATCATATGACCTTCAGAGTGTATTCCCCACATTGGTCTTTGGCTATTCCTGCCAACAGCACTGTGACTGCTTACTGATACTTATGCATAATGTTCATATTACCTTCCACCTATTTCCTGACTTGTACTTCAGGTATCCTACTTTCTATAAAATGCAAACACTTCATTATTGAATCAAGTTTTGTTCAAATATAAAAACAGAAAACTAGTCACTTCCAGCTGCTTTTACTTGACTTTTAAATTACCCAACCCTTACCCCAAGGAGAATGTTGTCAATCGAGAGAAACCTTCAATAGCATCAGTAAACATCAATTGGTATCTGATCACAACATGTGGCTTTGCGCACTACTCTTCATTGGAGCATCTGAGCAACTATGGAGAGGGACTGCCCTTAAACTATTTCAATAATTATCAAGAAAAAGCATTTTCACAGTTACTGAGGATTTAACCTTTGTAGATCATCTTGTCCTTTAATACTTTATGTCAAGCTGTTTCCTTCGCTCCCACAGAAGGGGATGAGCTTGTTGTTCCTGAAACATCAGATAATAGCCGCAAGCAGATGGTCAGGACCAGAAGCAAACGGAGATATTCCTTTCGGGTGCCTGAAGAGGAGAGACTCCAGCAGAGAAGGTGGGCAGAATCTCTAATGTTGCAGTTAGCATGCATCCCCGTCCCCATCCCACCCTCTTATCTTAGTTCATGCTGTGTCATAGAGTCATACAGCACGGAAACGGACCCTTCAGTCCAACCAGTCCATGCTGAACATAATCCCAAACTAAACTAGTCCCACCTGCCTGCTCTTGTCTCATATCCCTCAAGTTGTCCTCCCTACACAACTAATGTTATATAAGATATGAACTTGTGGATGTTTTGTTGGTACTTTGCAAAGTACAGCTTTGTGTGTCTGGCTCAAAGTGTTGAATTTTTGGGTTTGGGATATGTTCGTACTATAAAAATAATTGTGATCTCTGGAGTTGGCTTTTCTGGTACACCCCCTGCTCTCTCTCAGCTGGTTGTCAGCTTAAAGATCAGTGGAGAAAGGTCAAGAGAAAAAGAGACAGGTTGCTATGTAGATCGCTCAATATCCATTTACGAGGTGACACTAAACAGTGAAGATAACCTTACCATCCTTTGAACTAAGGAGAGAAGCGTAGAGGAACAGAAAAGTAGACAGGATAAAATTAGTTTATGTTCAATTTTACATTCCTTTTCTTTTCAGAGAAATGCTTCGGGATCCAGAAATGAGATCCAAATTAATCTCAAATCCAACTAATTTCAACCATATTGTACACATGGGTCCAGGTGATGGCATACAGATCTTAAAAGATTTGCCAATGGTAAGTTAGCCAAGGATATATTGTTCAGACTCCATCATTTAATTTCAACCGTTTACATAATGAAGCACCTTCTAAAGAAGCAACGTAGTTCTAGGCCCTTCTTAATTGGCATTAAAATCTAATAGCCATTAATAGACCTTTAAAAAGAAACCGTGTGCTATGTTCAGCAGACTTCACTTGTGTAATTTGTTACTTTTAACTTTTTTAATATTTAGTTGTTATTTGCTGAGGTTTTACAAGACATTAACCATTACTACTTGGAACTGGTGGATTCCTCTGCTTAATTTCATTCTTTCTTTTCTCTAACATTTCTTTATTTCTGTTGTTCCTTGAATAGCCAGGCTGTCCCCATCCACCTCCCAATCAGCACTTCAGCCTGATCTCCACTCCAACCAACTTTGAACACATTTATCATATGACTGCTCACTCTGCCGAGAACTTTCTCCACCATGAACCCCACGTCTGCACCCCTTCTCCAGACTCTGCCTCCAGCTTACCACATTCCATAACATCAAGGGTATGATGTGTGTGCTGACCTTCCCACTAATTGATATGCAGTGCCTTATATTTGTGTGCCACTAATCAAACCAAACCTTACACAGGGCAATCTGCCTTGAGCCTTAACAATTCTTCCTGTTCACTGCACATTTGATGTAAAAGCCCCCATTGTTACACCCCAGAGACAGAGATTTCTGCATAGATAGAGATGGGATGGGGACTGGTGAGCGAATGTCGAGAAAGGACGAATCAACAGTTGACCAACCACTTCAAGCATGAGCAAAACAGCTAAACTCCAAAAGGGAGGTGAGAGTGTCTTCACTTGAAGGGCCGCTAGACTCAAAACATTGACTCTGCTTTCTTTCCACAGATGCTGCCAGACCCACTGAGTTCCTCCAGCAAATTCTGTTTGTGTTTCAGATTTCCAGCATACTCAATGCTTGGTTTTATTTAAGACAAAAGTGAGTTTAGTAAGGCAAAATAGAATATATTCGGATTCAAGGAGCCTGAAGAATACGATAGACGAGCTGAGGGCCCAGATATGCGTGTGGGAATATAGTACCATAGCTATGACCAAGACATGGCTGAAAGATGATCAGGGAATCGATTATAGCAGTAAGGAGAAATGATATCTTGGAAGGATCATTTTAAATGAGGCCAAATGGGGCAAATATGCTGTTGGCCATACACACGTGATGATCTTCAACTCCACTTCCCTGCCTTTTCCCCATAACCCATGATTCCCTTACTGTTTAAAAATCTGTCTACCTCAGCCTTGAGTGTACTTAATGAACCAGTCACAACAGCCCTCAGTCGTAAATAATTCCACAGATTCACAATCCTCTAGAGAAGAAATTCTTCCTCATCTCTGTCTTAGATGTGTGACTCCTTATTGTGAGATTATGCTGTATAGTCCTGGACTATCCCACAAGGAAAAAGAACCTTTCTGCATCTATCCAGTCAATTGCCCTAAGAATCATGTATGTTTCAATAAGGTTGCCGCTCATTCTTCTGTATTCCAACAAGTACAGGTCCCCATTTGCTCAACGTCATCTCATAAGACAGTCTCTCCATCCTCAGAATCAATGTTGTTGAAGCAGTTTTCGACTTAGTATTCAGAAATGAGTTTGGGCAGGTGGAAGGTGTATCAGTCAGGAGCGTTTTAGAAATAGTGACCGCAATTGATAACAAAACATTTAGAATGGTAATGGAAAAGGATAAAGATGGATCAGGAATAAAAGTTGTAAACATGGGGAAATGTTAATATTACTAAGATAAGATGCAATTTGGCCTAAGTAGACTGGGAGCAGCTACTTGCAGATAAAGCAGTCAGAGCTATGGGAGACATTCAAGGAGGAAATAGTGAGAGTGCAGAGCAAATATGTTCACATCAAGACACAGGCTGGGACCAAGACCAAAGAATCCTGGCTGTCAAGTAACTTAAAAGTTAGGGTTAAGGAAAAAAGAGCTTATGGAAGATACTGAGAGTTCAATACAGCAGAGTCATAGACATAGAGTCATACAGCACAGAAACAGACCCTTCGGTCCAACCAGTCCATGCTGAACATAATCCCAACCTAAACTAGTCCCACCTGCCTGCTCCTGGCCCCTATCCCTCCAAGCCTTTCTTATTCATGTGTCTATCCAAATGTCTTTTAAATGCTGTAATTCTACCCACATCCACTATTTCCTCAGGAGGTTCATTCCACACAGAAACCACCCTCTGTAAAATACTTGCTTCTCATGTCTTTTCTAAATCCCACTCATCTCACCTTAAAAATGTGACCCCTAGACTTTGGAATCCCACAGCCTAGGGAAAAGACACCTACCATTAACCGTATCTATACCCCTCATTATTTTATAAACTTCTATCAGGTTGCCTCTCAACCTCCTACGCTCCAGTGAAAAAAGTCCCAGCCTATCCAGCCTTTCTTTATAACTCAAATCTTCCATATCCAGCAACATCGGGGTAAATTTCTTCTGAACCCTCTCCAGCTTGATAATATTCTTCCTAAAACTTGGCAACTAGAGCTGGACTCATTATTCCAGAAGAGGCCTCACCAATGTCCAGTACAACCTAAGAATGACTTGCCAACTCCTATACACAAAGGACTGAGCAATGAAGGCAAGTGTGCCAAATGCCTTTTTAACCATCCTGTCTCAATGTGATGCAAACTTCAAAGAATTATGTACCTGCATCCTTAGGTCTCTCTGTTCTATAACACCACCCAAGGCCCTACCATTGATTGTATAAGCCCTACCCTTGTTTGTTTTACCAAAATGCAATACATCGCATTTATCCAGATTGAAGTCCATCTGCCATTTTTCAGCCCATTGGCCCATTTGATAAAGATCCTTTTGTAATGTTAGAAAACCTTCTTCACTGTCTACCAGCCACCAATTTTGGTATCATCCGCAAACTTACTAACCATGCCTTCTATATTCTCATCCAAATCATTTATATAAATGACAAACAAAAGTGGACCCAGAACCGATCCCTGTGGAACACTGCTCGTCACAGGCTTCCAGTCCAAAAAGCAACCTTGTCCTTAAAGGAGTATAAAATATTCAGGGGGAACTTTAAAAAGAAATTGGGAAAACTAAGAAAGTGCATAAGAAAGCATTGTTGAGTGGAATAAAAGAAAACCCATAGGGTTTCTTCAATATCTGAAGGGTAAGAAAATAACTCAAGAAAGAGTAGGATCCATTAGAAGTAATCTGTGAATGGCCCTGGAAGGCTTCAAAGAATATCTTACGTCAGCCTTCAAAATGAAAAAGGACAACGCAGCTATCGCTACCTGGGTGGAGGACTGTGAAATATTAGTAGAAGTTAACAGAGTGTGAAGAGGTACGAGTGGGTTTAGCAACCTTAAAAAGTGGATAAATCTGCAGCCTGGATGAGATGTATCCCAGGTTGTTGAGAGAGATAATAGAGGCCTCGTGGTAATTTTCAACTCCTCTCTGGCCACAGGTGAGGTGCCAAATGACTGAAGGACTGCAAGTTACCTTACCTACCTACTCTGCTACCTTCAGGGAACTGTGGATATGCACACCAAGGTTCCTCTGAGCTTCAGTGCTTTCCAGGCTCCTATCATTCATAGTATAATCTCTTGCCTTATCAGCCCTCCCCAAGTACATTTAGAGGCATACAGCGCGGAAACAGACCTTTTGGTCCAACTCACCCACACCGACCAGACATCCCAATCTGACCTAGTCCCATTTGCCAGCATTTGGCCCAAATCCCTCTAAACCCTTCCTATTCATAAACCCATCCAGATGCCTTTTAAATGTTGTAATTGTACCAGCCTCCACCACTTCCTCTGGCACCTCATTCCATACATGTGCCATTGAAGGGTGCCTGATGCCACGGGAATCCTATCCCAGTGTGGACTACACTCCAATGGTATTTTAGAAGTGGACTTACCTGATATTTCACAACTAATTAGCACTGCTGAACTGAGAGTGGAACTGGCTGGTTTAACAAAAACCCTAAGTCTTGAAATAAAAACCTGTAAAGTTACAATAGCATGGTTCCAACTGTTTAATCTATTCAGATATCTTTGTTGATTACTTTTCCTTCTCACCCTGATTGTTTCTTTGTAGAATCTACGTCCTCAGGATGAGAAGAGTCGGACTATGTTTAGTGCTTCTGTCAGTATCCCTGCTATTGCACGATCTCGCACAGAACCAGGCCGTTCCATGAGTGCCAGCAGTGGGCTGTCGTCAAGTAAGATAGTTTTCACTCGGCTTTGATCCTCACAGAAAGTAGTTGATCCAGTTGTGATATGTGCCACTCAGGATTGTTAATGCAGTAGTTATGGCTTCCTATCCGTCTCAATGATTGTAAAATGGCAGGCAAACAGGTTCATCTACATCTGTTACTGAGCCAGTCAATGCTGCATTGTCAGAGGCAAGTTCTCAACTGCAAAAGGTATGTTCCTGAACCATACAAAAACCACAGTCTTCACCCAGACATACTGAAAGAACAGTGCCCCATCAGAACCTGGCCTTCTCACCTCTTCCACCCATTTTTGTGTTTTGATTGTTTAAAGAAGGGCTTCCTGAAGCCTCAGTTTGCTTTCCAACATTTTGAGCCTGCATGTCTTGGTCTGACTGTCGGAATTCACTCCAGCAACTTGCACTTATATGCTAGTTTTATCCTGTGGGACTTCTTAAATAGGTATAAGAAGAGAATGGATATCAAACTGATAGGTGGCAGCAGGGGTATCAAAGTCTTAGACATAGAGCTGGATTTGACAGGGGTTTGAATGATGAAGAGACAATGAGAACCGTGAACGTATACTTTTACTGTGGGATCAGTTCGCTTTGTATATGTTTCACATGTTACATATCCTACAGGATCAACGGCACAGAATGGAAGTGCCCTTCGAAGAGAATTCTCAGGAGGAAACTATGTCAACAAACGTCAGCCAATGACGTCCCCTTCCGATGGCTCTCTTTCTTCTGGTGGAATGGATCCTGGAAGTGATGTTCCAACGAGGGAGTTTGAGCGCGATGTAATTCTCACTTTAATATTTTCCCTCTTGTCTCAATTTCTCGCCAGTGGGTGGCATGGTGGTTCAGTGGTTAACACTGCTGCCTCACAGCGCCAGGGATTTGGGTTCGATTCCACTCCTGGGCATCTGTGTGCAGTTTGCACATTCTCCCCGTGTCTGTGTGGGTTTCCTCCGGGTGCTCTGGTTTCCTCCCACAGTCCAAAGATGTGCAGGTTAGGTGGATTGGCCATGCTAAATTGCCCGTAGTGTTCAGGGATGTGCAGGCTAGGTGGGTTAGCCATGGGAAATGCAGGGTTACAGGGATAGGGTAGTGGGGGGTGGGGGGAGCGGCATCAAGGTGCTCTTTGGAGGCGCAGTGTAGACTTAATGGTCCGAATGGCCTGCTTCCACACTGTAGGAATTCCATGATGATTCTGTGATCTTCATTCCTGTCGTAAGATCTCTTAATATAAGTTTCCATCCTTTAAGCTTCTTCACAGCATTTCAAACATCTTCAGAATGTTGGCACCTCAGCTCAATCTAGCGAGTCCACTGTCCAACTCTACATGCCCCACACTTCACCACTACCTGACCCCACCTTCTGCACCCCTACTGTCAGATAGAGACTCCCACCTTTTCTCCCTGTGCCACGGCCCACACTCTCTAGGCCAGTGCCAGACTCTGCCTGTCTCTGACTGACTGCGAGTGTTACATGTCAACGATATTAAATGGGATTGGAGTTGTATATCGGCCAGTGTCAGTTTCCATCTCCTGAAAAACATTAGGAAATAAACTTAGTTTTTCCAACAGTCTGGCTGCTTCAATGGTCATTTTTGTTTGGTGCTGAGAGCACAAATTATCTGAGATATTAAATGAAATTACACAGTTTATCAAAAAAAAACAAATTAAACAAGGGTCAAGATTGTAAAGGTTCCTTGCACCAAATTCTCCAAATTCATTGCTGTTCAAGAGCTGGCACAGGCTATGTGGCCCTTTGTATCTGCCAGCTCCTCTTTTCTCCTCAGCATTGTTACATTGATGCTAAAGCCTCCCCCCCTCCCTGAAACTGAAATTGTCCCCTTCCCCACCACCCCATATTGATCCTGCTGGACTCTGCAAACTATCCAGGGAACCTGAGGTCAGAGCATTGGTCAACACCATTCCATGTTCCGCCTGTCAATCAGAAATCCTTCATTAGTTTCCATTTGTTGGTATTCCCAATTGAAGACGTGGGTTTTTTAAACCTTAAATATATCTGAGGTTTCTTTTCAAAAGATCAGTGCATCAAGGAAGCCTTTGTACTCACCTTGATAATGCAGTTGGAATAGACAAGGCATCAGGCCCTTTTGAATTCTGTGTCTCTGCAGAATGAAGCCCTTTTGATTCATTATTCTTTGCCTGCATTATTCTGCCGTATTTGTCTCAGAGATTATTCTTCGTGTTGGTCATTTTTCACATGAAGAATTTCCTTCTGATAATTGCAGCGGCAGCTGTTAACCTGAGGCTTCGTTTCTGTATGACTTTGTGAAATCCATGTCACTTTAAATAGTCCTAACAAGATGCAATGTCATTAGGGCTGGAGAGGTCAGCTGGTCATTTCTGACCTTCCCAGCCTGACCCTCCCTCAAATTGATGCATTTGTGGAATGGCAGAAAATGTAACTCTTACTGAATTCGATTATCCGATTATCCTTTTAAACAGAAACTAGATCAATCCCTCCCTGAGGAAAGAAGCTGATTCACAGTAATTTATTAACAGAACTGAAAGATTAGCATGGGGTTTAGGAGAACATAAGGATTCTGTGGAAAACAAGGTGTAGAGCTGGATGAACACAGCAGGCCGAGCAACATCAGACGAGCAGGAAAGCTGACGTTTCGGGCCTAGACCC